ACTGAGCCACCCAGGGGCCCCTGTCTTTTTAATCACAAAGAATTTTAGAACCTAGAAAACACCTGTTGAGGAAGAGAAAAAAAAATCTATTTTCATAATTCTTCATGTGTCTACATTCTCCAATACTTGTACTCACAGGATAAATATTTGTATGCTGCTATTCACTTATGAACACTTACCTATATTTCGATGTGTCTTGTTAGAGGCAGCATAGCAGAATGGATAGAAGCAGGCTGTATGGTTACATTTGGCTCCTTGTTAACCAAAGGGGGCTCTGGAGTGATTTACTTAGCCTCTCGGTTCCTTTTCTCTTTGATGGGGGTAATAAAATCCACCCAAGGTTGTTGTGAGGATTAAAATTTGATAAGAAGACACTACGCATGATAAACACACCTGCTTTGGTAAAGGAGCCCCTCAGCAGGGTTGGTCTGCTGAGGGTGTATGTGTGTGTGTGTGTGTGTGCGTGTACATGTGTTTTATGCTAACTGTAAAAGAAGTAAAAGCGAGGCACGTGGTTCAGCTCTCAGAGGGTGGATTCCACTGGTCTTACTTCAGTTCCTTTTGCAGGAAGAGCTCAAATCATAACAAGGAAACTAACCCTAAAGATGAGCCTCTCATGTCAAATCTTAGCCAGCTTCCTTCTGATTTTCATCGTTTCTACCAAAGGTAAGTCAGTGTGGGTCTCCACTGGAGACCCTAACATGAGCATAAGAGTCAAAGAGGTCATAACCCAACTTTCTCTGGCAGTGTGTCTCAAGATCTCAGGAACTGTCTTGCTTTTTATAGGTGCAGCCCCTGAAAACAATGTTGTCTGGGGTACCCTGGGTCAAGACTTCAACCTGAACATTACTGGTTTTCAAATGAATGATAATATAAATGATATACGATGGGAAAAAGGCAAAATCAAGGTTGCACGACTCAAAATGGGCCACCTTAAAGAGACAGGTGGAAGATACAATGTATCAACAAACGGAGCTCTGAAAATTAAACATCTGAAGATAGAGGACAGTGATTCCTACAGGGTGGTTATATATGCTACAAATGGAAAGAACATATTGGACAAAACATTTCAACTGAAGATTCAAGGTAAGTCTTGGTTCCCTAAATTCTTCCATCTCAGCCTGGGTGCTATTTAGCAAGTTGGGGAATAGCATGTATGGAATGGCCCCAGCCTGACCTCGGCCTTGGGGGAGCCCTAAAGGAGATTTAATGCATCTCTCCCACCTCAGTGAGGGCTCCGTCCTGTGGAAGAGATGGAGTCTCCACGTGGGGAAATACACGGCTGATAGAACCTCAACTTTCTTTGCCTAAAATGCTCTCTTCAGTGGTTATGGGGATATGCAGTTGCGTGTAGAACCTCGATTAAGGTCAGGAGGAGAGGAACAGGTGGGCAGAAGAGAAAAGTGGTCATTTCAGGTGGACGATGAAGGAGCAAGCTGGGTGTGGGGCAGACTAACTGGAGAGCAGTGGGTCTTCCATCCACAGAGACATTTCAAGCCAGGATGCCCTGAAAGAGTAGTTATATGGCAGGAAATGGCTGGAAGTAATGAATTTAAAGATGAACAGCCCTTGTTTCAGATCTGTTCAACATCAGAGTGATCAAAAGCTGAAGATAATTTTTGCTATAGCTGTAGAAAAGACACCAGGTGTGGCCTTATGTATGTGATGCCCTGGGAGGGCGGGAGTGCCTCCTGAAGATGAGCCAGGGAGCTGTTGCTACAGTCCAGTCCGAGGTAGGTGGGTGGGGGTGGGGAGCTGCTTGGGGATTCTGAATTCAGGTTGTATGTTAGAGTCAATGGGAGACCCTAGGAAAAGTTACCGGGGCCAAGGTCCCGGCCCAGACCAGTCAAATCAGAATTTCCTGGCATGGGCCCTGGGCATCAGTAGGTGCCAAAGTTCCCCAGCTGGCACTAATGGGCAGACAGAACCGAGGGCCCCTGGAGTCGATGAGGGGTGCCTGTAAAATGAGGAAGTAGAGTATGCGGAGAGTCCTGGGTGGAAAAAGGGTGGGCAAGATGGCTTGGGTGCAGGAGACTAGGAAGAGAAAGCAAAATTGAAATGACATTGATGTTGAAAGTCTGGGGATACTTGGGAGGGGGTGATAAGAAGTGAGAAGGGAGGGGCGCCTGGGTGGCTCAGTAGTTAAGCGACTGCCTTCGGCTCAGGTCATGGTCTCAGGGTCCTGGGATCGAGCCCCGCATCGGGCTCCCTGCTCAGCGGGAA